CAGGAATTGGTTGAAGTACTCCAGTTGGCAGGACAGCAGGGTGTATGGCCTGTAGTGGGATGCTGTGTTACCAACAACTCCTCAGCATTGAGATATGGTCCTACAACGTAATCAGGTGTCCTTCAGAACATCTGACTATCCCTGTCCCTGTGCAGGTGTCAGTGCTGGGTTGTCCCTGCTCTCTTTCTCTTGGGCTTTGGTCTCCTACAACCGCTTCATCTGCCTGCTGAAACCTGGCCACCTCTGCCCGCCGGTCGCAGCCATCCTCTGCCTGCTGCTCTGGAGGATGGGGATGCTGGGGACCAGGGTCCTGGCCCTGGTGCTCTTTGCCAGGCTGTATTCCTTCTGGGTTTTTGCTGTGGCAGGTAGGACCTGGGATCATCTTCTCCATGTCCCATAGGCTGTCAGCCATAGGGATGCTCCTGGTACTGGGAGAGCTTTGCAGCCTCCCCCAGGAATGGCTTTGCTCTTTCAGTCCCTTCCCCTTGCAGGTGGCCACTGGTTGCTCATGTCCTTCTGGTTGGTGGCCCAACAGACAGACATTGTGGCCCAGCCCTGCCACTGGAGGCTGTTCAATTGCCTGGTGGGAGCTGTGTACATCTTCTGCTACGTTAATGTCCGACCTGGTCCCTCCAAGCACAGGGTGGCCGTGTTTTATGCAGTAAGTACCCAGGATATTCAATATTCCACATGGATGCAGCTGCTGGGGAGAAGCAATAGCTTCAGCCTCTCCTTTCTCACCTCTCACATCCCATCACTTGATAAAAACCCAGCATTTCCCATGTCCTAATAAATCCACATGGTCACCAAGGTGGATGCATCTTCTTTGTTTTCTTAGGAGCAGCCATACAATGTCTTAGTGACACCAGAGTTATTTTTCATGGTTAAGAAAGGTCAAGACATTGCAGAAAGTTCAGGTCAGCAGCCCTTCTGTTTTAAAAGCAATAAGTTAATTAAGTTAATTGCAAAATAAATCAGTGAAATCAAGAAACTGGGTGTTTTCTGTCATCGGAAGCACGTCTAAGGCCATCAGAAGAATAAGTGACAACTCTCTTCCCTCTGCTCTGTAGATAATGCTGATGGAAAACACCCTCCTGCTGCTGCTGGCCACCCGGTTCCTGCAGGCAGAGCTGAGGAACAGCCTGGGCGTGACTGGGGCTGTCATGTCAGGGTCTGTCATAGGTAAGATCTGCTGGGTTTTAAAGCCTGGGTTGAGTGTTTGGAGAGGAAATGAGATCAGTATCATCAGTTATTTGCTTTATTTCTTCCAGCTTAAGCATCTGAATGTATTTGACCATACAGAAATCACCCTTGAGTTTCACTTCTTTATCATTTCTTAAAAGCCCATCCCTGACGAGGAAGGCTTGCAGAAATGATTGAGGTGTCACCAAATGGCTCAGGTACTGCTGCCAAATACAATATATGCAATTTTGAAGCACATCTGCTTGTGCTTTCTGTCACCATAGAACCATAGAATGGTTTGGGTTGGAAGAGACATTTAAAGGTCATCTAGTCCAACTGCCCTGCAGTGAGCAGGGACATCTTCAACTCGACCAGGTTGCTCAGAGCCCCATCCAACCTGACCTTGAATCTCTCCAGGGATGGGGTTTCTACCACCTCTCTGGGCAACCTGGGCCAGGGTTTCACCACCCTCAGCATAAACAATTTCTTCCTTCTATCAAGTCTAAATCTCCCTTCTCACAGTTTAAAACCATCACCCCTTGTCCTGTCATAGAATCACAGAATGGTTTGGGTTGGAAGGGACTTTAAAGCTCATCCAGTTCCAACCCCCCTGCCATCAGCAGGGACACCTTCCACTAGACCAGGTTGCTCAAAGCCTCATCCAACCTGGCCTTCCTTCAACACTTCCAGGGAGGGGGCATCCACAACTTCCTTGGGCAACCTGGTCCCAGCAAAGCCAGCACTGGGCAAGTATGGGAGTTGTTGTTTTCTGGGTGAGGTCCCCACCAGGCTCATGGGGCACATTTGGGCTGGAAAAGGAGCAATTCCTCTGGCCTTGAATGAGTTTAGTAGGAAAGTGTCTTAAAAACCTGCTGGTGTCTCATGTAATGGCTGAAGGATGGGGATGCTGTGAGATGGGAAGGATTCCTGCATCTCACATCTCCTCCCTGCCCTCTGCCCTGTCTGTTGGGGCTCAGCACCTGCCTTGTTGTCCACTTGCCAGTCTGCAAAGCAATCCAGATTAAATTCAGTCTTGAGGGTGTGCTGAGCATTCCCCTTCCCGAAAGCTGCTCGAGTTGGATTCTTACATACCTAAAAATGCTTGGAAGACATGCTGCTGGGACACCTGATGCCCAGCAGCATCTCTGCAAAGGACCTGTTGATCTGGAGGTGGCAGCGAGGTCTGGTCTCTCCTCCATATGTCATCAAAAGGCTGTTGAGACTCATCCCTTGACACCTTTCTGCTTTTTTTCAGGTGCTGTAGCTCTGGTGGTTTATTACAGCCTGCTCCATCCCAAGTCCACAGAGATCTGGCAGGGTTTCCTGGAGACAACCTGCGGTGATGCGGCTGCTGGCGATGATGAGGTTGCTGGAGATGGCTCCCAAGCTGGCCAGAGCCTGGGAATTTCAGGACACAGCAGGTCCTTGGCAGGAGAAGGGACCGCAGCAGATCCCCAAAACAGGAACAGCTCAGCACTCGTGCAATTCAGTGGGTGTTTGGAGGATGGCTGGACAAACCATCACCACTGGCTGCTGGTAAAGCTGACCCTGAAGACAGGAGATATGTCTATAATCAACGCAGCTTTTGGAGATGGTGGTGTGGGAGAGGTTTGTGCTGGAGGATGGGTGATGGGAAGAGCCACCAGTGTTGAGCCTGGGGCAAACCTTTCCCTCCCCACGAGGGAAATCAGTCTTGGGGGTGTTGGACCCGGTGTGACTGATGAGAACTTGCCAGCGATGAGGAATGGAGGAGGTGACAAACCCAGCACTGACACTGCAAGAACAGCACAGGAGGACAGAGCAGGGCAGGAGCCTGGGTTTCCCCCACCCATATCTTTTCCCAGCAGCTTCTCCCCAGACCTACCTGAGAGCTCCTCTGTGTATTTCAGCGTGAGCACAGGAGGTATCACCTCTCCTGGCCTGGGGACAGCCACAGCTACCTGCGTGGCCCTGGAGCAAAGGGACAGCGAAGCCCAGCCTGCCCCGGGATGCCTGGGAAAAGGAGGAGGAGAGGATTTATCCCTTGGGATGGTGAGCATCAGCCCAATCCTGGGCTCTTGTGCTCACAGGCACCTGCCGAGAAGCTCTTCCCTCAGCAGCATGAGCGGCTGTGGGGTGGTGGCTCCCCCCAAAGAGAGCTTGGGTGCCCTCATGGGGTGGCATCGCCTTTGGGACACCCACCCTTGTGGCACACAGGTTGTGAGGAGCAAGGTGAGGCCACCGTGCTTCACCTCCACCCCCAAAGCCAACCTTAGATGCCCACAGGAAGGGCTGGGGGAGCTGGGAGAGGGGACAGACCCATCTGAGTTGCTGGAGTGACCCTACGAATTGCTGCACCATCACCTTGAGTCAGCATTGGGGTGACTGTCTCATCAGTAGAGTATGGCAGGAGGGGGTGGGATGTTAATACTGGTCATGAACACTGTCCCCATGGTGTTCCCGCCACTGGGCAGATGTTCCTTCATTGCTAGGACATCACCTTCCCTCCTGGGGCATCTTCTACTTACAGTTTTGGAGAGCTTCAAAGGTCTTAACAAGCCTTAGAAGTCCAGGTTTAGGTATTTATTAAACTTATTTATGTAACGGTCTTGCAAGACAGCTGGACCATGTTGCCTTTGATATATTTGGGACAATGTCTTGAAACATGTCCTTTAACAAGTGCCAACACAAGTTACTGGCCTGTTCCAGCATGGAGATCTGGCTGCTGTCTCCAGAGGCTGCAACACTGGCCAAAGCAGGAGACTTCTCAGGACAAATAAGTGCCTAAACCAGAAAACTAATGAGTTTTACTCTCAGATGTCCTTCCTCTGGGCAGAATAAGCCCTAAAGTAAAGTTCAGCAGTGCTTGATTTATTTTTCCCCCACTGGGTTCATCTTGAGACCTTTACCAACTCCTTTTGCTGGAGCCACGTGTAGGGTCTTGGATCCTCTTCATACTACAGACCACAACCTCAGGACCCTGAACTGCAGACAAAAACCGTGTCCTGCTTCTTTGCCCACAGCCCTGCTGCTTCAAGTGGTCTTTTCTGTCCAACCTCATCCTTGCCTCCTTCCATCCAACTGCAGATAATCCACATCTGGCTAGATGCCCCCTCCTAAATTTAGCCTCAAGTCAAATCTCACAACAGATCTTCATACTGCCACCATGAAATCCCCATTGGCAGACTTTCTTTATATCAGGAACCAAATCCTCCATACCATGACCTCAGAAACAGTCAATGCTTCCAGTCAGGCTGGCTGGACATGGATTTGTGCCCAGGACATGGACTGACATGTTGATTGAGGTCTGGTCAGCTGGATTCACCAGCAAGCTCATGGTACCAGCTGGTGCACATCTGGCCACATCCTCCAGCTGTTGTCCCACTGCAGGCAGGACTTTGGTGGTGCCACAAGGCAGGAAAGGCAGCAGAAGGACAAGCATGTGATGAATTATTAAAGAAAATCTTCACAGCTCAGGACTGACCCAGCCAGATGTTTCTTCAAGCTGATCTGGGCACTGAAAACCCAGTTGGTTCCAGTTTTGGAGTGAAGCTGCTTTCCAGCGTGGTGAAAGCTCCATGTCTCGATTTGAACCCCAAAACCACCGTGCTGTGGTTGTGCTCCGCAGAGACAAAGCAGTTGCAGCAGCTTTTCCAGGGTCCTCCTCACTGTGTGCATCACACAAAAGGCAGCAGAGCTGCCTTGGAATGATGGAAATTTGTATCTAGTTTGTTTTTCAGTCTTTGGTAATATATCACCATGCTTTAAAAAAACCAAACCAGCCTTTGTGGTGTCTGTGTCTCGTGTTGGGGGTGCAGGTATCTCCCCAAAGCTCCTTGTTCCTCAGCCACCAGAGGGAGATGCTGCTCAAGGCCACAGAAGAGGAGACGTTGATCCAGGCGATGCCTGCCCATCCATCCGGTGCCTGAGTTATCATAGAATCACGGGTAGTTTGAGTTGGAAGGGACCTCTAAAGGTCATCTAGTCCAACCCCCCTGCAGTGAGCAGGGACATCTTCAACTAGATCAGGTTGCTCAGAGCCCCATCCAACCTGATCTTGAATGTTTCCAGGGATGGGGCTTCTACCACCTCTCTGGGCAACCTGGGCCAGGGTTTCACCACCCTCAGCATAAACAATTTCTTCCTTACATCTACTCTGTCCCCTCTTTCAGTTTAGATCCATCACCCCTTGTCCTATCGCTACAGGTCCTGCTAAAAAGTTTGTCCCCATTTCTCTTAGAGGCCACCTTCAAGTATTGAAAGGCCATGATAAGATCTCCCTGGAGTCTTCTCTTCTCCAGGCTGAACAACAGGATTGATGGGAGTTTGTGGGAGCAAAATGGGGGGCTCTGGGATACTGGAGGTGGCCAATATGGTGCACAGCAAGTCCCTGGAGAAACGTGACCGTGGATGTGGAAGTCTCCTTCCACTTCCACAGGTAGCACAGGGAAAGTTTGGGAGCCCCTGCCAGGGTCTCACCAAGGTAGTTTTCAAGGTGGGGAAGGATGATATCCATCTGCAAATATCTCATGGTGACTTCAGGTCCAAAGGTGGGTGTGCAAGGGGACCTGCCACTGACTGTTGGATGTAGCACAGGAACCTGCTGGTTTGGTAGAAGCGGCTCCAGTTGTTGCCACCACAGTGCTGAGTCCTGGTATTCATCTGAGTACCTACAGAGCTGTGCACATGCGCCTTGGTGGGTGACATGGCCACTCCTCACTCAGGTCTCTCTTCACATCAACCCATGGGGGCACAGAGGTCCCACAAAGCCCAGGTCCTTGCTGTCCATGGAGCAAAGTGATCCTGGGCCAGTCCAAACACAGGGTGTGAAGCTTCATGAGAAACTGCAGCTGGGGAAAAGTGTGGCAGAGGGGTGGTGAACCAACTGCTCGGGGGAACTAGCTGATGTTTCCTCCAGGTGCCCCAAATGTTTGAGGAGACCCAGCAAGACCCTCTGCTCCTTCTTCAGTATTTCCCACAAAGTTTTTTTTGGATTAGCTATGTTATCCTGAGCTAGACCGTAGAATCTGCCCAGCCTTGAGGGATGGTCATCACGATTGTTTGGGCTCCAGCCACTCACAGAAGGTCTGGAGTGGGGGATGTCTCTATCCCATCACACTTGTCCAGATCATCCTGCACTCTCACCTACCCTGGAATGGAAGATTTCTGCTCATTTGACTCCTATGAGCCTTTTTTGTTCATTTTGTTTTTTGAGGAAACCCTCTCCAGCACTTTAGAGAGGTGGAGGCTCATGTCCCAGCCCAGGAAAGCTCAGTGCCACCAATGAGAGAAGTTCTCATGGGCTGCAGAAGAGCAGCAAGGGAGTGGAGAGCAGGAATAGAGGGTGAATTTTGACAATGCAGGGAGTGACCCATGGGCTCCTGAGGAGAACTGGCTGTGCCACTCACCGGTGATCTGGAAAAGGGAGCGAACACTCAGGAACGGAGACTGCGTCCCTACTAAATTAAACAATACCCAGGTGAGTGCCTGGGTTTGGGGACGTGGCTGTCCAGCCCGCTGGCACTGTCCCCTTGGCTTGTTGTTTTGAATGGGTCACTCTTGTCCCTCTTGCAAGGTGAAATAAATAAAATGGGTTGGAAAGGTCCCAACAGGGTAGCAGCTGCCTTGCCCCAGCCCCTTCATGTCTATGTCGTGTAGACATAGTGCTGAGGGACATGGGTTAGTCGGGGACTTGTCAGTGTTGGGTTCATGGTTGGACTCGATGATCTTAAGGGGCTTTTCTAATTGAGGCAATTCTGGGATTCTGTGATTTCAATCACTCTCTGTGGCCTGATTTCTGAGCTCTACCCATGGGCATCAAGTTTTGGGGTCAGTTTTGCTTGACACACGGTGAAAAACCTGCTGTCCAGCTCTGAGATGATGCAAACCCTTCTGAACTAACCCAGGAAAGATTTACCTGGGAAAAAAAAAAAAAACAAAAAAACAAAC